CAAGGTCTTTAGTCTCTGTAAGCAGTGACTCACAGAAAGCACACACACATAAATTTGCATGGGGGGGAGGTAAGTTAAATATTTCATTGTTTACCCCGCAGAAAAACAAAGGGAAGGGGATGTGGAATACAGCAGGAGAAGGCTGGAGGTTCCCGAGGCGCCGGGCTGCCGGCAGCTCTCCCGGGAAGGCGGCCCAGGGCGTGTGGGGCCGGGCCAGGCCAGCAGATGGTGGTGCTGCTGTTTTTAAGGATCTGCCTCTCCCGGTGGTTACGCCTCTCGATTCACTCCGGGACGCTTGAAAAATACGAACCACCCGAATGTAAATACATATTTAGGGTGTATTGCACTCACAGCGGGGTCTCTGTGTATTGTCTGTCCCCTTGACTGTATTAACAGGCCATAAAATGCAGCTACAGAACAGCATCGCCCATTGGAACGAATCCTGCAGCTTCCAGTTACTGCCCACAGTGCTCGGGCAGCGCCGAGGATAAAGCAGCGCTCCAGGGACACGGAACAACCTTTTTTGCCTCATTACTTTTTCTTAGAAGGAACAGAAACGTGTACCTATCGAGGACATGTGAAGTGCAGAATATGGAAGCAAAATCGGCAAGCACCAGTTACAGAAATTATAGTGAATTAAATTGTATTTATACTAGAAAGCAAATAATTCTTTGTAAAATTAAGACAGCTGTCTGGAAAGCTTAGTTCCAAAGAATGACTACCTGGGCACAAGCCAAGGCAGGTGAGTTACTCACACTGACCCCCAGCATCCTGTGTATCTCAGCCTATCTGAAGCAATGGAAAAGAAATAAAACCCGTTGCAGAAACTCCTCACATGGACCCACCCAAGCTACACGTCTGCACTGCAGGTTCTACTGGAGCACTTAATCCCGCTGCTAATAAATTTTAAATAATTAGACTCCTGCTCTCAGCAGTTTGGGCTGATGTTTGTGTGTATCCCAGCCACCAGGCCCCATCTCCAGCAGCGGTGACCTTGAGCTGGTGGCAGCCCGCAGCCCTGGGAAGCACGCTGGAAAACTCCGCATGCTTCCTGCTAGACCTCGGCGCTGGAGATTTGTTAGTGTTGGCAACGGGCTGCTCTTGTGCAATACTTCATTGTGTTTGCCTCCATTTTTCCACCAGCCTTGCTAAAATCAGCCCTTCTCTGTCTTTACTACTTACGCTGCAAGATTCCTGAAGATTTTCTCTCGGGCACGTGGCCTCCTTTTCAGTCACATCCAGAGAGGATAATTCTAGAAGGAGAAACTACTGTCTGCCTTCCTCACCTTAGGAAAGCACCTAGGAGGCTCACAGAGCTTTCCTGGCAGGAGAGGAGGAAGGGCTTTGGCCCCCTGTGCCTCATCCCTCACTTCCTAGAAACACAAAGCTATGGAAACAATAGCAGGGACTCCGTCCAACTCCAGTTGCTCCTGGGAAGGATGACACGAAGAGCCAGCAGAGCCGTGGAACTCAGTGTTTTGATAGCAGCCTCCCTCCCTCCCCGTGTGCCTCCAGGGCTACAACTTCCCCTCTCCTCTCTTTGAGGGCACCTGACAGGATCTGGAACCCTTCAAGATCCTCTTCTGCACAGCAGGCAAGAAATGGACATTGGGAAAATCACGCCACGGAAAGATGTGGGTGGCAGGAAAGGGTCGGGAGGAGCGGATGGACAAACTGACAGCCCGGGAGGTGCAACGTGATGGTCCCCTCCCTCATGTCCACTTGGCACCCCCCCACACAACTAACCAGCCCTTTCTAGAACAGGGCAGTTCACATGTAACCAATCACTAGTTATTTACATTAAAGGGCTGCTGGATTGGGCCAAAATGCTGACAAACAGAGCAACATAAAAATTAGTAGCACTGGCCCTCCCATTCAACCTTTTGGCTTCCCTTTATTAACAATACCTACATTGCAAGAACAAGAACATACTGATTATAAGGAAAGCAAGGCAAATCTTCTCCAAGTTTAACCACTCTAAGCTGTACATATTCTATAAAGTCTTTAAGACACAGTACTAAAATTACCTTAATTTACATTTGGATATTGCAGTATCCTGATGCATCTTTAGTTAATCCTTGGTACTTAAATGGATTTTGGTATTTAATTTGTGTTACTTGAATCAACATTACAAAGTGTTCCAAGGGATGATTAAAAATCTGCAGGAAAAGTTGAACACTCTTGTTAGAGAGATATGTTAAAATTCCAAGCAGTGCACTTGAAGTAATTTTTTTTAACCTTTTAAATTCCAAATTTGACCAACCAGTGCTTTCCTGCAGCCGTACAAAATTTTTTATTTTCTTTTTTAAGTTAGATATCCTGCCAGTAGGAAAAAATCAATTCCCCTATCTACACAAATCCCTAAGTGCATGCAATTAGAACGTCACATTCAAATTTGCACATTAAGCTTTCTTTTTTTTAAAAAAGCAAAGATGACAAATTGGAAAGCATAACTATTAAAATGAATACTAAAACGCTCTCTTCACCACAAATTAATGTAAATCATTTCTGCACTTAGATTATTTTTAGAAGGGATCAGACAAAACTGTAAAAAAAGCCCAGAGCAGATGCAGATAGTGACAATAACCCTGGCAGAGTTGCTTATTTTAGCCACAAGGCATCTTTCATTATCTTATGCTCTCCCATCATTTGTGAAATAAGACACCGTATGATGCAACGTGCCCAGGTCTGATGATGGAAGAGGTAACAGAAAACAATTTTATTTTTAGCCTTACTCTGACATCAAAGATGTTGACAGAGTCTGGATGTCTGCCCAACAGGCACCGTGCTGCTGGTCCCTTCACACAGAAAAACAAAGAGAGGGGAACACCTACCAAAAGGCACTGTGGGCAGAGCCCAAGTTTTACACTTAATCCCAGCATGGATCCCATTCAAGGACAAACTATACTCCACAGTTTCACCACTCCCATTTAAAATCTGCAGAAGGACCAGAAAGACCAGAAAAATTCCTTTCTTTCCATGCAGTCCTTCAAGAGTCAAGGCCCTGAGAAGTGAAGAGAATTATTCGACCTTCCTTATTCTTTTTCAGCAGCCTGTCAGCCTGCAGTACAGTCACCCTCAAAGCTGGTTCCTGACACAGGGCTGCAGCATCACAGGGCACTGCCAAAGGTGGTTGTTAAGGAGAGAAATAAGGCAGCTGGAGATCTGCTCCCAGACAGAGCTCTGCTAAAGAGAAGCTGTGACAGCTCCTTGCAGCCACAGAACAACACATCTGCTGTGTAGGAGAAGGTGCCAGAGGCCCAACTTGCCACCCAGGCTTCCACAGATCACCCACCCTCACAGCCGGGCACGTTTAGCACTACCAATACCAACAGACTCAAGGCAGGAAAGTCAGCTTTCTCTCTTCAGTGCATTTGAAAACAAGCCACCCTTGCAAGTGAATGTACTGGATACAGAAGCCATCTCAGTGAAACCTGTTGCCTTTAGAACCAGAACCACCAAACCAGAATTTTTGAAATCTTCCATCAAGATGAGGTCACTCAAAATATTTGATAGAAGCATTTCAACTTGCAAACCCCTACTTTTTAATTAGTTTGACAGAAACCCATTGGTTGGCAAATCAGGCCCAACTTGCAGGCACAGAAGGCCACTGCAGAAGGTGGAATAAGGAGTTGGGTAATATCCAGCACGCACTAGTTTGGGGCTCTAGAGTTACTGAGCTGAATTTTATTAAAAATGACACAGAGAAGGTTATGAACTGCAATGAGAAAGAAATGAGAGTCATATTTCCTTTGACCACAGAGTCTTGTACATGATCCCACAATCTCCAGAACCTGCACTGTGTATTCCTCCTCTAGTGCTGTATTTAGAGATCCACTCAAACGGGAAAGGAAATTAAAAGATTTGTTCATTGCTACAGAACATCCTCTAAAACCTGTATGAATAAGTAGTCCTTAATCTTGGAATTAATATGGTCACTCCTGCCTAAAATTAATGCTTGGATTTTTACAGCCATTTTATTATTATTTTATTATTGGGCCGCTTTTATTATTGGAACTTTTAGCATACAGAAATGTTCTGAGTTTATCATGAAAGCAGTTACTTGGTCTAGTTCTAGATGTCTACACAGTGACAAAACCCAGCAATCACTGCACTGTCTGGACTTGACAGGTAATCCTACAGGAAAGAACAGCACTGGAATGCTGTTTCCTTCTTTTGATGTACGGGAACATGTGTATCTTCTTGGTGGTAGGGGACAGAGGAGGGAGCTTTCTCACGACTCCCTCATTTAAAAGAAAATATCCAAAACATTTAGAGCCAAAAAAATCTAAAATTGTTCTGTTAAACACTGTCTACTTTCAGACAAATAATTTCTAAGGGCAATACTACCTAGTGACTGTCAGATATGCAAGCATCCCTGAGTTTAAATACAAAACCAGGTAGTGTAATTTTATTAAGCCACGCACCAAGGAAGACAAAATAAGTGTAAGAGGACAGCCCAGCATATGTCAGCATATCAGCCCACATGAACTAAGTTGGGAAGATAAACAACTCCCCCAAATAACAAGGTATTGAACTAACAGGGGAAAAAAAGGCTCCCATTAATGCAGAACATATGAAACATCAGAGCTAAGTAAACATTCAGTTGTTACACAAATCACTAAAATGCATAGGCAGGTTCCAACAGCAAAACCCAAAACACATGATCTGATAAAGTGCAGCTACCAGAAACAAATGTACAGAACAGTGGAGCAGAGATGCTGCTTCCTCAGCCCCTTATTATAGCAGTGCCAGCTATAATGGATGTGCTCCACATCCTGGGATGCAGCAACAGGCACGCAACCCAACCCCTGTAACTGCCCCCATCTACCCCATGACTACAGCCCCTCTGCTTAGCATGATCACATAAGCCTTTCCTTTAAGTTTTCTGTCCTCTTAAGAGCACTTTAATTTAATTATTGCCTTTGGTGTCTGTGGAGCTGTGTAGCCTGTAAGGTTATAATCCACACAGTTCATGTGGAGCATCTGAAGTTTCTTACCTCCAATATTCTGGATAATTATTGTAGTTGCAACCAGGACCTATAAAAAGAGAATTGATTTCTTTAGAAAGGGTAAGGGTAACTAAAATCGTATGTCCCCGGCAGTCATAAAACACATGTGTATCATCTTAACCAGACCAGATGTGGCAGCGATAACTAGTCCTGAGAGGAAGGGCATCTTCTCCTTAGTGAAGAGTTTAACACATGGAAACCAACACAAGCTAAAATGAACACGAAAGCAAAAAAGTCCTCCCTGAAAATCAGGCATTTTTATTCTGAGATGACAAAACAAGAATGCTGACACAGCGAAGCCTGATCTGCAGAAGATCAGGGGTTTAAATCACTGAAAACATGTAAGTGCATCCTAACTTATATCAGGTGAATACAAATGAAAATGATCATTTAGCTCTGAAAAGACAGACAGCAGAGATTTGTCCAAGCTCAAGTCCACTTCCTCACTCCAAAAACTTGAGTGTTTTTAACCGTCAGGGATGTCATTGTTCTTTAAAACTTGTAAACCAGACAGACTTTTCTTTAGCGTTTGTGATTGTTCATACGGGGCTGATATGGGAGCAAAAAATGATCACAGGCTACTAAAATACTTGTCTGAATCCGAAAGAAAATTAACTTCTAACTGAAAAAAAAGCTTAAAAGAGGCTATAACGTTTTCCCACTGTTTTCTTCTCAGTTCAGTTCTAAAATACCACGATCATCTAGTGCAGTTTTTCTTTTTACACACTGCTCTTCTTGAGGTAGCAGAACACTCCTAAATGAGTGCTACCATTAAGTCAACTTGAAAAAAAAATTAAGCCAGAGTAATGAAAAGACAAACAAATTTGTACTTTTGAATAAAATCTGAAAACAGAGTTGCCGTTTTTTTTCAACTGATCAACTAGAAAATAATTTCAGACTTTAAATGAATTCAAAGTCAGTTCAAAAGTCACCAAGGGAAGGAAAAAACCCCTAAAGTATGGTATCTTGCAGTTTGCCATACATGGAAACAAATACTTCACCCCTTTGGAAAGGGAGACTCAGCAATCTTCCAATGGCAGAAAATTTCCATCCTCACAAATCTCAGAAAAAATATGTTTGAAAGAAAATCACCATAAGGTTGAGTAATTGCTCTACTTCAAGAGTAATTAATCAGCCAGTAATTAGAGTAATTAGTCAGCCTAAGCTGTCAGTTCAAGCAAGATCCTACAGTGGTCTGACTGCATCATTCCCCCATGAGGGAGAAAAAAGCAAAAGAAAAAAGTCTGTGCCTGACTGAAGTGAGAACTGTTCAGAGACAGATTAGAATTCAGAATGGTTGTGGTGAAACCAGAAAAGCCTAAAAATCAACCAGATCAGTTAAAAGCAAGGCATTCAGGAAGATCTCAAAAATATGATTTAGAGTTATTAGATTGCAAATAGAGAAAATAGTCTGAGATAACACAATCAGAAACAGCAAGTTTTAAGAAAGCTGTATAAATATCAAAGATGCTTCAAGATGGAAAGATAAGTGTTCGGGAAAAGTGTTCATCAGGAAAACTGGGTGAACTTTGGTTAATTATTTTAGGTAAACAACAGCTTCCCAAACTAAAAATATTCCAGTGCTCTCTGTGCACACTGAAAATAAAAGATAATTTTTAGCACAAATTATTTAAACAGAGAATTATGAATAAGTATACTCGGGAGAATTAAAAAAAATTACTGACATTGGCTATATAGTGAAGCTGTGAAATGTCTTCATTTAAGCTTTTAAATAACAGATTAGACAAACATCTGCCAAGACTGGTTTATGTATGTTCACCCTGGGTTCAGGGAAAAGGCAAACTAAGTCACATTTATTTTGTCTTTAAGATCTAAATTTCTGTGGGCTTCACAAGCAATGGCTTATGGTTAATGTGTGCAGAACAGCTCCAGTAAAAAATAACTGCACTTCATACCTTGCTAATATCAAGGTTTATTATCTCTTGAGGTTGATCACTTCAGAACTTTGATCAATAAATATTGATCCTCAGACTACACTCATATCTGCTTATTCATGCTAATGGAAGTCTCACAAACACCTGATATCTCAGCTTTAATTCTCAGTTACATTAAGACATGAAAAAATCAGACTCCAGCCTGATGAGCAGAACTAATTAAAAAAAAATTTACATTGTTTCAGTAAAATATTAAAATCATACTTCTGTGTGGTAAAACCTGCTTTTAGTTACTGAAACACAGAGCATAGAATTCATAATAATAAGTGTGCAGTACTCACAGGCAATATTTCCTGTGCACCCAGTATTACTGGATAATATTGCCTGTTAGGAAAAACGGATCCAGTACACACCTAAAAAAGCACAGCTAACATTTTGATTTCTCTTATACCAGAAATGGTTAGTTTACTGGTGTTTTTGTTGGGTTTTTTGATTGTTTATTTGTTGGGTTTCGTTAGTTTTTTAATCCTAAAACAACAAGTAAGAAACATTCACGTGAAGAGCTTATTAAATAAAACAAAAAAAAATACCACGCAGGAAACGTACTCTTAGTTGTTCCTGTTGTGGAAATTGCATGGCAGACAATCCCTTACCTTAGATCCCTGTGAAATGCTGGAACACCAACAGTGGATCACTTACCTGTCCCTCAGCAGTTTCCAGCCGAGGCACGAGGGGACTGTAACAAAGCTGAGCCTGAGTGCTGAGCCCGCTGGACAACAACGCCAGGGAGCACATTTGTACTCACAGCTAAAAACCTGGCATTTTAAGGAGGGTCTATTTTACATTTAACTGAAGTTTGGGCTTCCACAGTCCAGACACATGTACTGAAACCTAGTGAAAAGCTTCAGGCTGTAACAGAATTTCCAGCACACTGAGGCATCAGTAATTATACAACCTATTTCATCTACGCCTTTTTACGATGCAAGGGACAGTTGCATATCAGAAGCATGAGACCGAGAAGGAAAAGAGAGGTAAAAATAAATACTCACCTTTCCAGCTGATCCAAAGGCAAACAGGCCAAGGTCTTCATAAGAAGTGGCAGCTGTTAGTAAGGAAAAAAAAAAAAAAAAGCTAAAATATTTCTAACTTCAAAATCGCTTGGAAGCTCTATCTTTGCCTTCTTCCCCCTTTTTAAATGAACATCATTCAGGTCAAAAGAGCATTCTATAGCATTTTTTATTTACAAAATAGCTTTTATATATGCCTGTACCCCTGCTATAAAATACAGTTGTGTGCTGAAACATTCAGAGACTCAACAGAAACTCAATTTAATATTTAAAGTACTAATATTTAAAAAATAAGTCATATATTAATGACAAATTGCCTTCTTCCAAAGACTTTTTCCATAGGTGAAGAATTATGAAATTAGCCTCAAGAATTAGATATAAGATATTTCTATATTTTGTTTCTTAAAAGAGCACACTTTTTCTTCTAAATAAAGATGATAACAGAGGATAAATTTTCATCTTTCCACAAATACAAACATCACCACCTCGCCAGCTTTTAAAAGTCAGGCACTATTTGTTTTTAAGAGAGCTGAAGGTAAACACCTTCCTTAGTTGAAATCTATTATTAAAAAAAAACCAACAAACTAAACCAAAACAACAGTAAAGCAAAACCCAGAACAAAACAAAAATCCTGCCCTTACCTGCACCCAACTTACATAATGACATTAAACCAGCCTGTGGTTTCTTGTATAATTTTGTTGGGTTTTAGCTGAAGCTCACTTCTAATATTGCTGGTAACTCAAAGCAATCCCTTCTCAGAGAGAAGGAAATCATATTAAAGCCTTTCATTGTTACTCTGTATTTTGTTATTAGAAACTCAAGTGATATCAAAAGGATGAAAGTTCCCTGAGAAAAACCACTCACTTTCTCGGGATAATGAAATGGCCCCACAAGTTTTAACCCTTCAGAGGGTAAAAATTCACCTCAAACCCATGTAATTTTACTGTCACAACACTTGGTTTCTCTTCCTTGGTTCTGTTTGGTAAAATACAGCTCCTGCTCCTGTCACATCTTAATTTAGGGCCCAGCCCTGCAACCTGAGCTGCTGGGGCAGCCCTTCACACCTGAGTGAAGCCCCACTGCAGTAAATGACACGGGACACAGGAGACACAGAGATCAGATGACAGGACTGGAGCCTCAGACTCCCAACTGCCCAAGATTAGGTGGTTTTATTTCACTGAAGTCCTGCACACATGCAGCAGAGGTGGAAAACAAAACAAAAATATACAATCAGAACCTAACAAAACTTCATTAATTTTCTCACTTGATTTTCTCAGTTTCACATGCTGCTCTACTACTGACACCAACACACTCCAAAAAAGTAAATGAAATAACAGATTCATTTTAAATAAAATTAAATGAGTCAGCTCTCAGCATAAACCTGGATTACCTCTTAAACCTCCGGTTACAGGAATATGAGTTATATACAAATATAATTAAACAAGAAATAAGTCTTACTAAATTTTATCCTGCATTTTTCTTATTTTTATTAATAAAGTTGTTGATCACAAGAGAAAAAAAAAAGGGTATTTTAGGCAGCCAACTTCGATGGCATCAAAAAATAAAAATCAGCAAAATGATAAACACATTTAAGAGTGAGTTGTTTGTACCACATGGCAACAAATACACAGCATACATGTATGAGGAGTTATCAGCAAAAAGAACTGGCAGTTTTCCACACAATTCCAAAATAGCAATATGAAACCTTAGAATAATTTCTGCTTCTGCACTCAGGTTAGTTCTGTGAACGCTGGGAACCCCTAACACTTAATTGCGTTACTTTTGAGATTTCAAGAATATATGGATGAAAATATTAAGCACAATTTATATAAATAAGCTCTGCCTGACTGGTTTAATTTTTATCATGTCACTAACACTCCGTGGAAATTATCCCTTTAAAGGTGAAATGAAGTTGGCAAGTATAGCAGCGGCAATATTTGTGACTCACTCAGAAAACGAAGAAAGAAAAAAAAAAAAGCCACAAAACTTCAAAGTACATCCCATTTAAACTCCCAGTTCCTCTGCTTTACAGAGCAAGCTTAGCCTTTATCAGCCCAAAACAACACAGGTCGTACTGAATTAACAGAAGGAGAAAACAGTGACTAAACTAATCCCAACACAACACTTGACACTTGGGAATATTTTTTTTTTGCTAAGCCTTTTGGTCTACACAAATCACTGGATTTTGCAAAGGTCCAGACCAACATAAAGAAGCATCTTCAGTTATTCAGTTATTTTTAAACTGCAATTAAAATGCTAGTGCTTAGTAAATCCTGGTCTCTGTTTAAAATGGAATTCATTTTTAGAGCTTCCTTTTCAGAAGGTATTTTATAAGTCAGCTCTTTCCTAATGAACGGTTTACAAACACTTTCAAAGGTTTTTCTTCAGCCCCCTTTAAATTTTTCTAGCTCGTTTTTTAATACAAAAATACTAAAATTTCTTTCTGATTTGTTGCCACGGACTAAGCTTGATACTATAACACTGTTCACAAATGAATGTGGATTTTTTTAAAGAAAAACATTTAATTACCTACTTTGGAATCAAACATGTAGTTTGTCAAGGTACAACAGGTCATATTTCCCACTTTTTAAAGACAATGTTCAAAGGAAAAACTCAGAATTCTATCTAACATTTAATTACTTCAATAACTGACAGTAATTATAGGGAATGCAATCTCAGATCTTATTTAAAAAAAAAATAAAATAAAATACAAAAGGTCATAAATCCAGCAAACTTATCCAGACATAGTTCTGGTGCTGGTCCTACCTGTCAGTATTGGGTGATAATTAATAATTAACTGTAAAGTGCTTGTTTCAGACAAGAAATACTTCATCCTGTCACTTCAGTGGTGCTCCTTGCTTTCAGCTGTCTGCATCTTAAAAATGTTTTCTTGAGGTGGACTGTTGCTTTGGACAACATTCTCACATATTAAGTGCCTAGGTTCATATCCAAACTCTTCTTACTTCAGACAACTTAAATCCTTAGTTTTCCCCTCTCACCATAATTTAGGTGCAAGCAACTCTGTAATTATTATTATATTATTATTATTATTATTTAATTATTATTTCACCCTTTACAACCTAATATCACTTAGTGCCTGTGTAATACAGAATTTTTCAGCCTGAAAGAAGGGGTAAAAAAAGGCCATACAAAATTACCTCAAATCCACCCTTTATTTGCTTCTCATGTACATTTCTACCTACTTGTTTCAGGTTCTGATTCCTTTCTAATAAGCAGAGCTCCAAGAGAAGAAAAGCATTACCAGAGACTTAATCCCAAATAATTAAGCAGCCAAAAGTATCAACCATAAAAGTAACCCTACCTCTGAGGAGTGTTTTTTAAGAATGTGTGAAGAAGACCACTGGACAGGTGAGGACGGGAGCAGCAGATCTAAGAAGAATCAGGAAGCAATCATCTGAGAGACCAAAGGCAGCTAAAGAAAACAAAGCCAAGGAGGAAAGAAGCGGAAGCTTTCTCCCACCACCTTTGAAAAGAGAGGAAAACAGATGAGAGGGAAACAATAACCAGGTGACTGGGAAAGACAGAGACTTCCTGCTGTAACGTGATCTTTGTGTACGAGAACTCAGGGAAGCAGTCATTTCAGTCACAGCTAAAGGAAGCAAGAATTAAAACATCAGCAGATTTGTTTGCACTTGAGCATTCCCAAAGCAGGGCAGTTCCCAAGGACTGGAACGTGACTTCCCATTCGGCATAAAAAAAATGCCGTAAAAACCTGCATCTATAACACACCACGACAATTATGATGCTCCAACCTGATCACAAAAACTGAAAGGTATCCACTTCAAACCAGGAACAAAATACACACATTACAAGCAGAAGAATTAAAGGCTGCTATTTCATTGCTCCTAAGCCTACACTGAAAACAGCAGCACACACTGGTGTCGCGTGGTCCAGCCAGCACCAAAATAATTTCGCTGCAGAAATACAGGATCTGTATATTAGGAAAGATGAGAGAGGCTTTTTGAAAAAACAATTAAAACTGAAAATCTAGAAACCAGCCAGTTTGGCAGCGACAGCTCACAAGAAATCTCAAACTCAGATTTTTAAATGGCGAATAATAATCATTAAAATAGTTAAATAAATCAAGACCAGTGAGCCAGGCACAGCTACCTGTTAACATGCTGTTAATTGCAATCATTACTCATCAATATCACACGTTCTGTGATAGAGCTGAGGAAATACTTCAGAGCTCACTGCTAGATAAATCCTTTTCACTTACCAGTCTGAGTGCACATACTGAGCAGAAGAAACACAGAGTAAGAAGCAAGGCTGGCAACAATCAGCAGCAAGACACTAAAAACCACAAAATAGTCACAATTAAAGCACTTTTACAGCACAATGCACTTTCTAGCTCTAAGAATGCTACTTTTGCAAGAATTAAGCTACCACAAGACAAGATTTCCTCATTTTGTGGCTGGTATCTGCTGACTATGGTTCATGTGGTCCCTGACATTCCCAATACTTGTGAAGTTCCCTGCTCCTTCTATTGTTCACTAAAAATAACACACACTATACAGGGCAAAGGCCTGACATAGGGATTACAAAAAGGACATAAACATAGGAGTTTGTGTGTGTACATACACACAGACAAACACACAGCTTCCAGTGAAGTGGAACCAACACCCAGAAAATGGTAAAAGTGACAGCTGTGGTGACTTTGGCCCCGATATCCACAGGACAGCAGGTACAACAATCAAGTGCAAACAAAAGCACAAGCTGATTCACAATTTTCAGACACATATCCATCCTACTCCAGAAGGCCCATTGCTGGAACTACAGGAGATAACAGCTTTGAAAGGAAACTGCCAATCTATCGGGAGTAATGGCCAAGAAATTGCCACCATGTGGCAATTTAATGCAACGTCCGGGCAGGGCTTATGTCAGGCCTGATCTGAATGACTAAACCAAAGAGGGAATATCTTATTCAACAATTCTGAAAAGCACATGCTATTTATTTCTTCCTCAGATTTGCACAGGAGCCTTAGTAATCAAGTTTTGTTCCACTTAAAACTACAAGCTGAGTTTAAAAATGAGGGTATGTAAAAACTGAAAACTTACCTAAAGCCCATGATCCCTGTGTTGGCCATAGCATAGGATAAGCCAAGTATCCCACTGCCCATGATTGCATTCATTAGGTTGAACACCGAGAAAGCAAATGAGGAACCACGACTTGAAGAACTCTGTGAAAAGGCCCAGAAAAAGAAGTACAATTAGTGCTAGAGGTGTTTTGGTCTCTTACAGGAGGCAATTTAAGGGAGGGGGCCACAGTCAGCTTTTCCTTCCTTAATCTAAATCAAGAAAACCTCATTTCTCACTCTTAAGACCATGTAAACCCTTGCTGCGCACACAACAACACGATGTTGCCCCGCAGGCATCCCAAATGCCCACAACCTTTGAGTACAGTGATAGTAGAGCGCAAAAGATTTATGGCTCGGAGGAGGCTCTCCCTGCGTGGGCACATGGCAGCGCTTCCAAGCGCTCGGCACTCACAGAACCAAAGGGACCCGGAGCAGAACCAAAGGGACCAAGAGCAGCGGCTCAGCCCCCCCCTTCCCCAGGTGTCAGCCCGGAGCCGCCCCGCACAGCCCCGTCCCGCCCGCCCGACCTTTGAGCCCGCGCTCCCCGAGCTCCCCCTCACACCGCACCCACCGCGGCCGCGCAGCCCCCTCGGGGCTCTCCCTCCCCGCCGCCCCTCACACGCACGCTGCGCGCCGGCGGCGGCGGCAGCAGCGGGGCGGACTCCCCGTCCTCCTCCTCATCCTCCTCGTCCTCCTCGTCCTGCAGGCGGGCGGACAGGTACCACCCGCGGGCGGGCAGGGGCCGGGCGCTGCGGGACCCCCATGGCGGCGGCGCCATCGCCCCCCGCGTACCCGGCGCACTGAGGGGCGCGCCGGGGGCGGGGCCAGTTTTTGGGGGCGTGACCATTAAAGGGGGCGTGGTCGCAGCGGCGGCCCCGTCCGCCCTATTTGGGTCGCGCGGGGGGCGTGGTCACGTTGGAGGGGCGCGGCCAATGCTCTGGCCCCGCCCTCCCCCGGCGCGGCGGCGATGACGCGCGCGCGCGGCGCGCGGGGCCCGGCATGAGGTGAGGGCCGGGGGGGGGAGGAGAAAGGGGGGGGAGAAGCTTCCCTGAGGGAAGAACGGGATAAACCGGGATCGCGGCGGTGAGGGAGAGGCTGGTCTGCCCACCTGGGAAGGTGGTGCAGTGGCCTCCAGCCAGAATACAGCGCGGGGGTGGGGAGTTTATTTTGTAACCTTATCTAGAAGCGACGGGATGAGAGGACTTGGCCTTAAGCTGCGCCAGGGGAGATTCAGGTTGGACATCGGGAGGAATTGCTTCACAGAAGGGCTGATGAGGCATCGCAATGGGCTGTCCGGGGAAGTAGTGAGTCTCGGTCCCTGGAGATGTTTAAGGAGAGACTGGACGTGGCGCTCGGTGCCGTGGTCTGGTTGACACGGTGGTGTTGGGGCACAGGTTGGACTCGGTGATCCCAGAGGTCTCTTCCAACCACAGTCGATTCTGTGATCCTGAAGTACTGATTCAATAGTTTCCGTCTAGGAAGAAGGCAAATGCCTCAGGAGAAGAAACACAGGGATGCTCAGGCCTCTGGATGAGGGATTTCTCCTGTGCAGCAGACGTGAGGAATGCAGTGTTTAATTTCTGAGTCAACAGGCGAAGGAGGCGTGCTTTGCCAAAAGCCTGGCTTAGGGAAATGGGCTGGTTGGGAGATGCAGGGAGGATGGGAGCACGACCAGCTTTGCCGGGGTTTGGGCACAGCAGCTTTGGGAAGGAGAGACTGCACAGCCTGGAACCCTGGAGGAGGGCAGTGGCTGAGGGAGGCAGGAGAACCAGTTTCCTTTCAGAGCTGGTTTGCGTCTTTCCTATCCACCCCTGATCTCAAAACAAGCTTCCCAAGAGGTCAGGAGAGATGCCAGCCTTGAGCACCGCCTAAACCATTGGTTCCTGCCTTGGAGCAGCAGACACAGTCAGAAAACTGGCCCTTTTGGACTGTCTCTAGTGGAGGAAACCATTGAGAGAAGGGTAAAGCCACTTTCAAAAGTTCCCCATCCCATGGATGAACTGTAGAATGGGACTCAGTCACTGGAAGAGCCATTACTAATGCTCCCCTGGACGTTATAGGGAATACTGGATTTAATTAATGATCTTCCTGGCATGCAGCCCATGGAGCAAAGACACTGTGGAGTGTGTAACACCTTACACTGGGGTCTGGGAGGCAGAAATCACCAAAGAGTGATCATGACCACTAATGCTAAAAACTGTTTTCTAGCAACCACTGCTTGGTAATGAATTTTATCAGACACAGAATGGATCCAACAGTAGGATCGAGACAGTAGAAATCTTTCCATGTGGCTTACTGGGATTAATATCACATTTATTAGAACAAGGAGAGGTCATTGTTTTTTGGCAGGAGGAGATTATCTTGCTGCTTGAAGTTAGTTGGTGTTTAAGTCTAAAAACACATTTGCAAAATAACAGACATTTGCAGTATATATTTTATAATAAAGAGCTTTACTAAACTATTGTGGATTGTTTGGTACAGATGGAAATTGTGGTTTAAGAGAACAGCAAATCCATGTGATTTGCAGCCTTTTTAATGGAATGATTACATAATGTCTATAAAATGAATAATTTCTCTTCTAGGACTTTGTGGAGATTTGGATACTCTGCCAGACTACTGAAAACTAATCATTTTAGGACAGCTGCATCAAATACATCATTTCCAGCAGTTTGGATGCTGTTGGCACAATATTCTGGCAGAATACCTGGGCCCTTTGTAGTAGTTAGAAAAAACGCTTTCTCCACGATGCCTGAAACCGTGGAGGATAAAGCTAATCCAGAACTGTATTCACCACATCCCGGAGTGCGTGGGATGACCCTGCTCAACAGAGAGGCTTTTAAAAGGACAGTTGTTGTTCCAGCTCTTAAAGTCAAGAAAGAAATTGTAAATAGTTTGCTGAAGTCCCTAAAACAATCGGTCCTGCAGCGTCCCGGTCTGAAGCGAGTCGTTGAGGATCCAGAAGATGAGGACAGTAGACTTGTTATCCTGGATCCTCATAAAATACCAGGATTCTCATTGGGAGAATCAGAGCAGCAGGTGCTGAAAGAGCTCAGTGTTGATCCTGAGGTGTCCAGGTATAACCTGGAGCTGACCTACGAGAACTTCAAGTCGGAGGAGATCCTGCGAGCGGTGCTTCCTGAGGGTCAGGAGGTCACCTCTGGGTTTAGCCGTGTTGGCCACATAGCACATCTGAATCTCAGGGATCACCAGCTGCCCTACAGACATTTGATTGGTAGGTAAAACTGCTCCTCTCAAAAAAGGAATTTGTATATTTTGTATATTTCCCAAAAGATATTTTATGAAGTGTCACTTGTGCAAAGAAAACTTTCGATTGCTTTTTATTTTGCCTTTAAGTAGCCTTGTGCTGGTGCTGTAGCTGTGCCCAGAGGGCACAATTCTCTCCTCTCCCTGCACTGAGCACTGGCTCAGGGTGAAGTGTGTGCTTTAAAAAGGTGTCACAGCTGCAACCCTGAGTCAGGAGAGGGAGGTTGTTCCAACACACACTTGCTTTTGTTATTTTTAACTGTTAACAGCAGGTTTGTTGTGGCTGTTGTAGAACATTAAAAGGTGGTGGTCCCGTAACCAGAATATCTTTTGCCCTCTCTTTCAGGCCAGGTTATAATTGACAAGAATCCAGGAATCACCTGTGCAGTGAATAAAACCAATATTATTGACAGCACATACAGGAATTTTGAAATGGAAGTGCTCGCTGGAGAGAAGAACCTGGTAACCAAGGTACAGGCCTTTTCCCCCTGGTATTTTAATTTTAATATGCTAAAACCCAAGGGCATCTTCTGGAAAGAGATGATGCAGGGATGCTGTTGAGACCACTCCTTTGCACAGTGCCCTTCCTGACACCTGTCTGAGCATCAAGGTTGGCTCTTACTTCTGCATTCCTTTGTCCTGGTCTGCCAAGGGCAAACTCAGCCATAGGGATCATGAAGACATGTATTCTTTCAAGTACACAGCCTAGATTTAATGCTGTGTAAAAGCAGCTGCAGTAAAGGTTTCTTACAGAGATACTAATGACAAACTTGTACTGGGGGATGTTTCTCAAAGCCAAAATATTCAGTGGATTTGATCTAAGAAAATGCAGGTTTTTAGTGTCACCAAGCCTTGTACAGTGGCTGATATAGAACCTAAGAGTTTGTTTTCAATCTGATTGGCTTTGCAACTCAGGCAACATTTTGCCTTTGCCTTTTTCCTTTTCTGACAGCAGCAAGACAAACCTCCTCTCTCCTCTGTCCTGACATTTATCAGGTGCAATCGCTGTGTGACTGCCACGCATCCTTCGTGTAGGGTTTCTTCTCTGTAGCTGGAAACTTGGCCACGGCTCCCACAAAAATATTTTCCCTATCTGTGAGCAGTTTTATACTTTCAGAAGAGAAGACATTAGATTACCAAATAAAAAGGTTGAATATCTTGGTAGAACATCCTGTACACGCACAGAGAAGGCAATTGAATTGTCAAGGCAGCAGCGAGGATCAAATATTGTGCAGATGGTGTTACCGTACACCTGGCACACCGTGGAGCTGCACCCAGCACTGCAGATACACTTCAGGATGTTTCTTGCTGGCAAAGCAAACGATGGGCTGATTTGGATCTGAAGTTACTGTACTTTGGAGTCACACAATTCCAGTGCGGTGGTGCAAAGAGAGTATTATCTTGCATCCCATTCTCATCTGAATAAATACTGCTTCTTTTCAGGTCTGTTCTTAAGATAGTGGTCATTCCAAAGTTTGGGTTTGGATCAGTTTCCAGACTCTGTCACCTTGAGAGATGAAATACAGTATTTTTCAAGCTGCAGAACTGGCTCCCAGTGGCTTTGACTTTGGCTGAGGGTTCCCGTTCTTGTGCCGTATCATTCTCAGACGCTTATTTACTGTGTGGGCTCCTCTAAGGAGGGTTTGAGGCATCTTCCCAAAGTCTGCTTTCAATAAAGGAGTTGTCAGTCAGCCACAAAGCTGTTGAAAAGCCTCATTTTTTCTTATGGCCATTTTAAGTTGCTGCTTTGTTTCCACCTGGTGATTGAGACAGGCGTGAGCCAGTCATTGGGATTGACAGTGGGGGACATTCCTCATGGCAGTTTCTGATGAGCTGGATCTGGTTTTACAAGGTTCCTGTGTCCTACCAGTGGGACAAATGTTGATGTACCCGTTACCTTTCGACAAGGCACCTTGGTTTTTAGCTCTCTGAATTACTGATAATGCTTAAACCTGCCAGGCAATTAAACACAGAAAATGTTTTCGACTTTCAGGTCAAAGAAAATAATATTGTGTATGAATTGGACTTTTCCAAAGTGTACTGGAACCCACGCCTTTCCACGGAACACGGCCGTATCGTGGAGCTGTTGAAGCCTGGGGATGTCCTTTTCGATGTCTTTGCTGGGATCGGACCTTTTGCCATTCCAGCAGCAAAGAAAAAGTGCCGCGTGTTCGCCAACGACCTCAATCCCGAGTCCTACAACTGGCTCCTGCACAACTGCAGGCTAAACAAAGTAGACACCAAAGTGAAAGCGTTCAACATGGATGGCAGGGAATTCCTCCGGGGGCCGGTACGGGAGGAGCTGAGCAAAGAGCTCCCACTCATGAAGGAAGAGCAGAAAAACGCTTTCCACATAGTCATGAACTTGCCAGCGCTGGCTGTTGAATTCCTGGATGTTTTCAGGCATCTCTTGGTCGGGGAGCCGTGCAGTGCTGCTGCCCTTCCCACTGTGCACTGCTACGGGTTCTCCAAGCACGAGGACCCAGCCAAGGACATTCAGGAGCGAGCAGAGGCGTCGCT